AAAGAAAGAAAGAAAGAAAGAAAGAAAGAAAGAAAGAAAGAAAGAAACCGACAGTCAGCTGATGGATGGATGGATGAATAGATGGATGGACAGATATTTATTTTATTTATTTTATTTATTTTATTGAATTTGTATACCGCCCTACTCCCGAAGGTCTCAGGGCGGTGAACAGCCATAGAATAAAACATATAAATACAAAATTTAAAATAAAATAAAACGAATTAAATAATTTGGCTGAACAAATTTAAAACCCCAATAATTTATAGATAGATAATAGACAGATAGATAGATAATAGATAGATAGATAGATAGATAGATAGATAGATAGATGGATGGATGGATGGATGGATGGAAGGAAGGAAGGAAGGAAGGAAGGAAGGAAGGAAGGAAGGAAAATATGTATGAAATGGCTATTTTTCTAATCAAAACTTAACACTGACCTATGTGTCCTGCCATACTGGTGTTCCCAATATTTTCCTCGTAAAGATAGTCCCCGCTTAACAACTGCCCTGTTTAGTGGCCATTCAACGTTATATCAGTGCACAGCATCCCTCGGTTCGGCATTTGCAACCGTAACTTCAGCTGCTCTCGGGCTGATACCTCAGAGGGAACCCAAAGAGTAGTGGCTTTTTTGGTGCCACCCTGTGCAAACTTCCTTCTCCCTCCGATTTCTATGTCGAGGTCAGAATTCGAAACCCCTGGGGAGGAGGGGGCAGGGAGGGTGCTATTTGCCACCCACCTCTCCATAGGACCTCGGTTCTCTTTCTACTGCACTGATGCTGAACTGTGGCAGCTCTCCAACTCCTGAGAACCCATTTGCCTTTTCAAAGGGAGCAGCAATTTCCACCCAAATGAAAAGGCAACGGCGAAGCACAGCCCAAGGCCTTTGAAGGGAATGCAAAAGAAGAGCAAAAGAGAGGACGCGATAGTTTGCACTTAATTGGGCCTTGCTTCTGTCAGACGGAGCCGGCAAAGTGGAGCCTTTAATACAACTTCCTAAACCAACTGAGGGAATATTTGATGCATGAAGATCGGCAGTGACCCGTCCGTCTCTAGCAAGAGTAGATTAAATGAAAGACGGGAAGAAAATACATCCCAGCTCCCCCTTTGGCTTCACTCTCAGACAGGTCCACAGGTTAACTTCTTAATTTTCCTTAATTTTATTTTATCACTAGACTATCTGACTCCTTCTCGCACAGTGAAAAAAGGTACCGTATTTTTCGGAGTATAAGACGCACCTTTTTCCCCCCCAAAAAAGAGGGTGAAAATCTGAGTGCATCTTATACTCCGAATGTAGCCCCGCCCGGCTTCTCAAACGGAGGTTTCAGAGGCTGAAAAAAGCACCAGAAACGAAGCTTCAGAAAAAAAGCCTCCAAACAGAGCTTCAGAGGCTTTTTTTTTTTTGAAGCTCTGTTTCGGAGGCTTTCAGAGGCAGGAAAAAAAGTTTTTTCTGAAACGGGAACTAACTGCCTTTTCAAAATATCCTTCCTGCAGTTCCATCCTCACTCTTTCCATCCTCCCTCTTTTGTAACCAGGGAACTGCTGTAAAAAGTCACACGAGAACGTGGAAATGAGATGATGGAACATGTTTTCATGTGGCCTAGATTTAATGCTAAATTTAAGGAACGGATTGATCTCATACTGATACTATAAGAATCTCGTTTTTCTCTTTTTTTTATTAATTTTTTTCCCCTTCTTTGATGTTGAGTTTACTTTAATCACTGTAATGTGTGTCTTTTTCTTAACTGTGTAATCACCAGCGGTATCATATGTGTTGATCTTTATTATATTTCATCCATAAAAATATCATTAAAGCACACACACTCACAAACATAAACCGAGGAATTTTAGTGCCCCCAGAGCCTTAAATCTGCAGCCAGCTTTGCCCATCCTCACCGAAAACTTTCCTTGGAAACGTTAGTTTCCCAATTGCTTTTCCCCATCTGATGGCTTCCAGGCCCATTGGGACTACAGCTCCCAGCATTCCCACCCAGACAGGACTGTGGCATCCCGAGAACCCTAGTTTGGTAAAGAGATCATTGACTCTTAATTGCCAGGATGGAGTCGATGGATGGGGGTTTTCTTTTGGATGGATGGTTGGGTTCAATGGGATTTGGTTGGGAGAAGATGTATCACCACGACACAAAATAAGACACTTGAGAATCTAGAAAGGGTGCAGAGAAGAGCCACAAAGATGATCAGGGCTCTGGAAGCTACATCGTAAAATGAAGAGCCAAGAGAACTAGATAATGTTTAGCCTAATAAAGAGAAGGTTTCACGGGGACCAGATAACTGTCTTCCAGTGCTTGATGGAAGTGGGGATGGACATGTTCTCCAAAGCACCAGAGGGCAGGACAAGAAGCAATAGGTGGAATCTCGCCAGAGGGAGATCCAATCTAGAAGTAAGGAGGAATTTCCTGACAATAAGAACAATTAATCAATGGGACAGCTCGATTCTCAGAATTGTAGATGTTCCATCACTGGAAATCTTCAAAAAAGGATTGGAGAACCATTTGTCTGAGATGATACAAAGATTCCTGTTTTGGGCACAGGTTGGACTAGAAGACCTCCAAGGTGCCTTCCAGTCTTATGATTCTATGATTCTATCACTCTGTCACTCCATCACTCTATCATTCTATTACTCTATCACTCCATCATTCTATCACTCTATCATCCTATCATTCTCCCAAAGGTGCTTTTTCAAGAGGCAAATGGACTTTCTGGTTTTTCTTTGAAGATGTTTCACTTCTTCAAAGAGCCGAGGTGGCTCACTGCAGGCTACTTCAGCTGACTGCTAGCTGCAGTTCGACAGTTCGAATCTCACCGGGTTCCAGGTTGACTCAGCCTTCCATCCTTCCGAGGTCGGTAAAATGAAGGCCCAGATTGTTGGGGGCAAGAGGCTGACTCTGTAAACCACTTAGAGAAGGTTGTAAAAGCATTATGAAGCGGTATATAAGCCTAAGGGCTATGGCTATTGCTATTCTCGTGCAAGAAGCCTCTTCAGCTTTGACTGGATCCATCTATCCACCATCCAGTCAGAGCTGAAGAAGCTTCTTGGATAAGAAGAGAAAGGCCTTCAAAGGAAAAAAAAACAGAAAGTCCAGTTGCCTCTTGAAAAAGCACCTTTGCAATAAGCATAACCTGGATGGCTGAGAATCTCCACAGGCACTCCATCATTCTATCACTCCATCACTTAGAGGTGGGTTTCGGCAGGTTCTGACCAGTTCTGGAGAATCGGTAGCGGAAATTTTGAGTAGTTCGGAGAACCGGTAGTAAAAATGTTGACTGGCCCCACCTCCATCTATTCTCTGCCTCCCGAGTCCCAGCTGATCGAGAGGAAATGGGGATTTTGCAATATCCTTCCTCTGGATTGAGGAGGGAATGGAGATTTTACAGTATCCTTTCCCTGCCACACCCACCAAGCCACTCCCACCAAGCAATGCCACGTCCACCAAGCCACGCCCACAGAACTGGTAGTAAAAAATTTTGAAACCCACCACTGCCATCGCTCCATCCCTCAATCCTTCTCGTGCTATCGATGGGTGAATAAGATCAAAATTCACCCGTGCCAGGGAAAATTGGTGTCAGGAAAGAGAGAGGCCTCTTTAGAGCTGGACACGTTCCATCACTAAATCCCCCCCCCCATCCCGCCGCCTTCCAGAATTCGGTGGAAATGCAGAGGGTGGATAACAACAGTTCTTTTCTTCCTTCCTAATCTCATATTCAAAGTCAGCTTTTGCTGGCCCTGAGCTCGGGAGGTTG